AGGGAAGACGGTAGTACAGTGGTCACGTGCTGGCGTGTAACTACACAGCGAGGCTCAAAGGAGACGCGCGTCTACGTGGGGTGTGGGGACTGTGAGGACTCCGTGACAGGTCTGATAGAGAACCCGGTATACTCTACAGGTGCCGAGAGTGGCCACCGGGGTAGTTTTAGAGAGGCGAAAACCTAACACTCCTCAAAAAAAAAACCAATCCTTTAGATACACTAGGAAGTAACTGGTCCCTAGATGAAAAAACGAACTGCAACTGTAAATTAATAATAGTATTTTTGTTTGACAGTCGCATTTGCAATTACGTGACCAGAGAAGTAACCATTCTAATTTAAAGGTTAGAGTTACCTACGTTACACAAGAACTCATCAATTTTCCAAACACAAATAACTCTCCACAACCAAAACCGTACCTACTAATTTACCAGACTCCATGTAATTAAACAAACAATTAAACAACCGAATAATTACGATTACAAGACGGCAGTATAAGCAGTAAGCAGAACTTGTCTGCAAGATAATAATCTTTAAGTAAATCAAGGTTAGGTTCATAATGAATTGCTTTGTAGGGACGCTATGACATTTGTTTTGTTCGTAACTCCACAAGGTCGGGTATGAACACGCAAATCTGTGAAATCTGTAGTAAGGTCTCCGATCTTGAACTTGAGGGTCGTAGGATCTTTGGCCTAGATATTAGGTAGTGACTAAGTATTAGGTCATAGGCATATTTAGATGAGGTTATTTTGCTAAAATAGGTTCAGAGTAGATTATTTCAAGACTTAATATCCTTACTAATCATCTGAGGCACTGAGTTACATTTTATAAAATATGGTTGTTATTCATAGTGTGGTTTTTTATTTTTTCAATTATTTAATTTAAGGAACGCGATATCAAATAATATACATCTATGTGCTATCGGATACACCCATACGTATTTTAGAAACGTCTTCTGAGATCACATACGCTCTAGTTTAAAAATTAATATATTAATATGTATTTTATGTCCTACAGTGCTAAAGTACAGATAAGATCAAATTATCGCTAAAGTAGCATAACCTTTTGAACGGTCAAAATACAATTAAAAAAAGTGTGAACAAAATTTTAACTCATTGTGTTTTCAGTAAAACTAATTAATTCACAAAATTCTCGAGTTTAATTATTGTTCATCCGGATTTTTATAAATCTAATTTTAATTACGTATCATTATTATGTTTTTGACCTGAAAACATGGTTTGACCCGCGATTGAGGTAAAAAAGTCGACATAAAAAGTCGTTGTGCTTGGAATAGATATTTTTTTAAACGTAGCGAGTAAAGGCGGCCACACACGCTAGGATTTGCATGATGGTTATAACTTTGCATGCAAAACCGACAAGCATAACCGAGTGCCGATGCTAGGGCTTTTTTTTTAAGGGGGCAAAATTATCTAATGACTGCTCCCGCCTTGGTGAGGCGGAAGGGAGTGTCAGACTCTTACTGACTAAAAACCACCCCGTTCCTTCTCCTGCACGTCGAGCCGGAGCCCCGGTTACCCGTTAGGTTCTCCGCGACTAACCGATGCTAGGGCTAGGGCTTGCCTGTCGGTTATGCATGCACGGCTAAAACCATTCTGCGAAACCTAGCGTGTATGGCCTCCTTAATGAGTAGGATTCAATTTAACTCGTCGAGTACCGGTTTTGTAGACACAATTATAGAACAATAGGTTGCGGTCACCGGTGACCGCTTGGTGTTTGACAGTTTAATCTCATAGTTGCTCTGTTCATTCGTCAATCTTTTGACATATACCAGATATGATGTCAGATTTCGTACTATTCCTGAGAAATAGGTATTCGAGCCTAATATTTCTTATTCGGAAGTGGTAAAGTCGAAGTTAAAGTGAAAAGTCAAAGTCAAAGCATTTATTTCGATTAAACCATAATTTGGTACTTTTAAAACGTCAACAGATAAGATACAAAATAACTAATAGTCTGTCAGTCTGTCCGTCCGTGGAGCTAGGTGCTCGTTCCAGATCCAAAAGGTAGTATTTGTGACTATTGCATCAATTGCATCAATGAGGTAGCTATAATGGCTGTTACATAGGTATATTTAAATTAGCATACTAGAACCAATTACCAACATAATATAAGATTAGTCTACCTGTTAGGTTAGTTGTTTAGTCATGATTCATCAAAACACGTCTAGGACTATATAATTATGTACCTACCCGTATTGTCATCTATAACAATGACCATCATTAAATGACACCTCATACAACATGTTTGACTTGATGTCACGTACCTGCCCAGAAGTTGACTGTGTGTGAATTGATTTCGATTTTTTCTTTTGCCCTGGTATCACACATCAACAGCCTGTATGTCACTGCTGGCCAAAGACCTCTTCTAACATGGAGGTTTGAGATCTCACGATGTTTTCTGGACCATTTGTCAGTGGAGTCTTAATAAAAAAGTGTACTTAGAATAGAACAAGCCGATAGACGAGCAGACGGATCACCTGGTGGTAAGCAATTAGGGGTAACAAGTGCGTTACCTGCCTTTTGAGAATTGTTGGGGATTCGTGGATTGAGGAGATTGGGGTAATTAGACCTCCAGTAACCTAATTCATACACGGAAGTATGATTTTACGTTGGAAGTACTTACTTAGAAAGTACATGTAGTTCAGAAAAAGTGACATTGGTACTTGCTGTTAGTAGCGGCAGCGAGAAGCAGGCGTCTTAATGCGCCCAAGCGGCCACCATGACATCGTTATCAGTAGATTCGGATGATGGGATGATGACATGTATAAAAATTAAAAATATAATAAGTTCGTAAGTTAGGTAATGAAAAAATATTAGACACGTATTTTTTATATTGTCATATAAAACAATACTTAGATAAAAAGAATCAAAGTTTAGGAGTGGGGGCTAAAATATCATTTCTACATATAAATTGTATATAGAAGTGATGTCACGCGATATTTTAAATCAATATATCGTCGAAAGTATTCGTTTCTGTAAGAAAATAAAAAATACGTGTCTAATGAATTAATGATTTAAAATTATCTACCAGACGGACATTAAAATAAAAATTAGGCATCTGCCCTATTACAAGCCTATGTCTATTAATTTATCCATCACAATAGTTATCTCACTATACCTACAATGATTCATTCACTATAATATCATCACGCTATGTCCTTTGAGTCACCAAAATAATTGTCGTAAAAAACGACCCGCAATTTATCATTGTTTTCTTATAATCCGCCATTGCTATGACGTCATTTTAATTAAACTTTACTCAATTAAAGTGAGTAATAATAATAAAGGTAATTTTTTGTAAGGAAAATAACTTTGGTTTGATGAACATCTTATATGAATACAGCCATGAATATTCTTCGTAGGTATAATTATATTTTTCGATCCTAATGACTTAGTAGGTAGTTACGCCCGTTTTTAAAAAGAAAGTACATTAGCATAATAAATACTGAAAAATGATTCAAGACTTCGTATTGGTAACAGAAAATTTAAAAAGGGTTAAAATATGTGTAATTAATAAAAGTTAAAATAACTGCTTCATTGGCCGAGTGGTCGCAAGTGCAAAGTATTCCTGGTTTTTTTAGAAAAACTCAGTAGGTAGTAGCTCGAAGTCTGGAGATGTGCCCGGTACATGGCAATAGGTTCACCCCCTATTATATGGGACTCATAACACAAAGAATGAAAAGTGGGTGTTACATTGTACGTGTAGAGGTAGGCAGAGGTACACCTCTGTCTACCTCTTCGAGGATAAAAGGCGTGATGTTATGTGTATTAAAATAAGTCCGTTCATTTAAAAATTCTAATAAAAGCCATGTTTATTATTAAAGGGTATGTAATTTTCACTTTGAAATTTCACCAAAGAAAGGTCGAACGGCAAAAATACCACCATTCATGATTATGTTTCTTAAGTAACTTTTTCTATTTATTTTAGTTTTGAAAAATGGATCGTTATTGTAATGTTTTGACAGTTTGTTTAAAAGACAAACATTCACTATTTGTACCATTAGTTCCTCTCAGCTTCTTTTGTTTTTTTTTTTTCTATTGTAACTAAATAAATAGTGCTTTTGTTAATATTACAATGAGTGACATGGAAAATGCAGGTCTTACTGTTTGTTAAATAAAGTATTCGTTACGCTTACCATATAATATCAATGGTATCTTGTTGCGGTTTGTTAGGAGTCAGAAAGGCTGAAAATAGGTGTGATGTGACTAATAACTTTGCACCACCCCTAGTCGTCTTATTAGTCGCTAGATTATTTGTAAAGCCAATTGGTCGGAAATTAAATACGTATATAGAACTAGTTATTGCATTCTTAAAGAACTGCACTTCTACACTCTATTGTAATTGGGGTAATCATTTCTTTTAATTAGTTACTATACCTGATTTGACGTTCTCTTATTGGTCTAGTAGAAGGTACCAGTCTTACCATTAGTCCTACACCTCTCTTCATTATCATAAAGTATCATTTTAAAACCAATGCCCTTCTTTATACTTCGGACTTAATGCCGGGTGGCAGTCAACCATGGGGTGATCCAGAGATGTGCAACAGTATCTAGATAGGTGTAATAGGTATTATGGTCCAATTTATGTGACACAGAATAAAACTATATAAATAAATTCATGATTATGCATAACTGTGAATACATTCATATATTATTATATTACATAATTTACGCATTACTGTAATAATCTCTACTGCAGTTGTCGACTCTTAAACGAAATGGACTAAGGGCCAATTTTTCAATCATCAGTTAATTCTTAACAGTAGGTTAAAATTGACATTTGACAGTCTTCTTTATGGAAGAATTGTCTTCAATACAAAAAAAAATTGAGAATTCAAATATTCAAATTAGTCTCTCAGTTAAAAATTTGTTTGATGTTGGAAAAATCGACTCTAAGACATTATTTTTTTATTTTTTTATTGATTAGTGTAGTGTGGCTACTGCATGCAAAACATCATAATCATGGTTTATATTTCTTTTCCAGTTGGACGCTCAGCAGCGCTACACACTATTCCAACGTGGTCTCTGGGAGGCAGCTCAGCAGATACCTCGAGGTGGTCTCCGGGACTACGCCACCTTCAGACAGCTGAGGCTACTCTCCATCATTGGACCGGCTGCCTTACCACCAGATCAGCTAGATAGAGTAAGTTAATTGACTACCTTATTGATTGACTTCGAAAAAAGGAGGTTCTGAATCTGACCTATGTATGTATGTTTTGATTAAACCGATTTATGCAATTTCCAGAAAAGTATTTGTTACACTTAGAAAAAGGCTTTAATATATTAATTAACTGACTTCAAAAAAAGGAGGGGTTGGAGTCGGTTTCTTAAACGTAATTTACAAAAGAATTATTGGTTAAGTGGTCTCGACTGCCTCGTTGGCCGAGTGGTTGCAAGTGCGACTGCCAGGCAAGGGGTCTCGGGTTCGATTGCTATATTTGCTATTATGTTCTCCATGATAGCAAATAGTAAAAATTACTACTACCTAACCATAAATCATCAGAATAAAAAGAAAAAAAATGTACCACTATCGCAATGCACTATACCCAACTACACCCCACAAACATCAAAAGAAAAAAAAAACACGTGTACTATACTAACCGACTAAAATTCTTCTATTTCAGTACAACCGCATCATCAACGACATGCTAGCAGTATACAACACAGCAGAAGTATGTGCCTACAACGAGCCCTTCAAATGTGGTCTCCATCTTCAACCAGAACTTCAATTCATCATGTCCCACTCCAGGGATTGGGACGAGCTCCAGCATATCTGGACTGAGTGGAGAAGGAACACTGGAAGACGGGTCAGGGATCTGTATGAACAGCTTGTGGATCTCACTAACCAGGCTGCGAGGTTGAACAGTGAGTTTTTTTATGACGTTTTTTATTTTATGCAAACTTATGTCTGTGTTCTATTGTAGGTAGGAAATAATAAATACTAAAAGGTCCTTTGCAAAACCATTATATACAGATATATTCTTTTACGGAGCACCACGGATACAGTTTAGTCACTTGATATAAATCCCCAAAATTTGTTCATACAAAAGTAGTCTCTAAGCATCGGAAATAAGGTCTATAGTGGAGTTAGTACGGTCACCGGTGACCGCTTGGGGATTGATCAGTAATACTGAATCAGGATTATCTAATACATTTTTATAATAAAAATCTTCAACATAATTGTAGATAATTCAAAATCTTAGTTTACACCACGCCTGCAGAGTTAGAACTCATTCAAACCAATGAGTGACTTGCTCTGGTACAATTGTAAGGCGCTGCTCTTATATTAAATGTAATTCATTCGGTTTAAGCCTTATTAAGTACTTAGTCAGTAGTCGTAGGAAGTCGTAATACGTATTTTTCTATATTAATTTGTTTTTTTTTTGTTTTCCAGACTTCACAGATGCCTCAGCCTACTGGATGTTCCCTTACGAGACTAATAACATGAGGCAAGAAGTTGACGAAGTTTGGGAACAGGTAAAAATACGCCAAAACAATATCGCCATTTGTTATACTTATTTTTGAAAGTAGGCTACAAATTTTGTACAAGTTAATATTAAAAAACTAAGCTAGAACAGGTCAGAATTTTCTATCCAACTTGAATCTCCAATGAGAAGAAACGCCGAAATAACTCTGAGGTCATAGTTTAATCTCTAATTCATTAGTAACATGAAGCAACAAATCTAGTGAATATTCTAGTTGTTAATTTTCAGGACATGACTGTGACGACACATGTCCCACGTCAAATGATAGCATGACAGCTCACACACATAGACTATCAATGGAAATCCCAACGAACAATTGTTGGGCAGAAAGCTCGCCAGGCACGAACACATCGCCTGGTCGGAGGATCCTTTTTCGATCTTAGGGAACTTTCATCTCTGTCACCTAAATGACTATAGTTACTGATTGTCGCAAGTTGAATAATTCTAACCATACTACATTTTCTTTCAGATCAAACCTCTATACGAGTTACTCCACGCCTACGTGCGCCGTCGTCTCCGTGAGTCGTACGGTCCTGAGAGGATCTCCCGTTCAGCTCCGATCCCTGCCCACATCTTAGGAGACATGTGGGGACAGAGCTGGTCTGGCATCGTGCCTTTCACCCTACCTTACCCTGGAAAGACCCTCGTGGATGTTACCCCGGAGATGGTGCAACAGGTGAGGATAATTGTACAATGTTGTGCTATGAATATTTGTATGCTTAGTTCTGTAATGATAAAGATTTGAGAAAAGGTATGGTTTCACGTATGTAACAAATATTTAATATTTTACTTTTCAAAAGAAATAAATATCAACAAAAACCAGACGTCAGCACAAACATCAAGTTATCGCATTATTTTTGAATTGTAATATGCAATAAATCACTGTCTTATACGTATTCTTACTATACTAACTTACACCAAAGTATCCGTAAAAGCGTATACATCAAAGAACACCAAATCTAAAAATTACGCATCTTATTTTCCAGGGCTACACACCACTAACAATCTTCCAACTGGCTGAAGAGTTTTTCGTCTCCATGAACATGTCTGCCATGCCTCACGACTTTTGGGCACTGAGCGCTCTCCAGCAACCCACTGACAGACATATACACTGCCAGCCATCAGCCTGGGACTTTTGTAACCGACATGATTATAGGTGAGAATAAAATAAACAAACATTTTCAAAGATTGTTGAACGGTCTCCAGGGTATAGGATGAAAGTAGATAGATTTCTAAAATACAAAGTTTTACTCTGTTTTTCGATATGTGTGGGGAGTGTGGGAGAGCCATGCTGCGACATGAATGGGCCGGCTCGACCGGAGTGATACCACGGCCTCACAGAAGACCGACGTGAAACAACGTTGTGTTGTGTTTCGTCGTGTGAGTGAGGTTACCGGTGACCCAATTACCC